GCAGACGTGAGGTTACCGGGATGAGCAGTCATGTGAGTGGTGGCGCCCGAGTCCATGTACCAGTTACCACCGCCACCATAAGAGCTCGGTGACGGGGTGGAGTGCAGGGCGGCGAGCAGGGTCGGGTCCCACAGCGGTGGTACATGAGGAGGGTAAAACCCTCCGTAGGCCGGCGCGGGAGCTGCACCAAAGGCCGGCGCGGCGGCAGCGCCGTAGGCCGGTGCGGACCCGTAGGCGGGCGCAGGCAGGAGGGGGCGGCACCATAGCCGCTGTAGGGAGCGGCGTTCTGCGCGGCGAAGAGAGCCTGGTGGCCCGCCGGGCGAGGCCCAAGGATGCCCGGAGCAGGAGCCCGAGGAATCGGCATCGAGTACACGTGGACGAGCCGGTCCACGGATTGGTGCCGTACGTCCATGGGGGAGTCACCTGCTGCTGCTGCTGACGAGCCCCCCCCCCCCCCGGCGCCTGGTGCTGCTTGCGTCCACCCCCGCGGTGGTTGCCGCGGCGTCCGCCGCCTGGCTGCTGGGGGGCAGCGGGAGGGGCGAGAGGCGCGGGCGGGAGGGGGAAATACCCCGGAGGCACGAGGGGCGGCGGCTGCTGGCGCAGCGCGGGTGGGGCGGCTTGCGGAGGGGTATCACGTGAGGTGCCGGCGGCGAGGGCGTGATGCTGCACACGCTTCTTGACCCCCTTCATCCGGCGCTCCTCCAACCGCAAGTACGCCACAAACTTGGGGAAGGAGGGCTCCGGCATCAAGGTGAGGTTGGAGGCGCCGTTGCCGAAGTCCTTGTTGAGGCCGACGGTGAGCGTGCTGAGAAGGAGGTCGTCATCCACCTTGGCTCCAATGTCACGGAGCTCATCCACCAACGTCTTCAGACGGCGGCAGTAGTCATCAATGGACTGTTCATCTTAGTGACAGACAAAAAATTCCTGCTGCAGAAAAACGCGGCGCTGAAGCTTGTTGTCGGTGAAGAGGCCGTTCAGCTTGACCCACATGGCATAGGCTTCGTCGCCGGCGCTCACAACCATGTGGAACAAGTCCTTGGAGATGGTGGTGAAGAACAACCGGATGATCGTGGAGTCGGTCGCGGTCCACTCGGCGTCGTCCACCATGGCGCGGGAGTCCACGATGCCATCTACATGATCCACGAGGTTGTTCTCGCGGAAGAGCTGCGAGAAGTACGTCTTCCACGCGAAGTACGTGGAGTTGGAGGCATCGAGGACCACGGGGACACGTGCATGAACGTTGATGTTGCGGATCTCAGCAGGGTCTACCGCGAAGGGGTTGGAGTAGGTGGAGGTGTTGGACGACATGGCTGCGAGGTCGTGGGGAGGGAGGCGGCGTGGCTTGGGGAGAGGCGGCGCGGCGGTGGAG